ACTAATGAATCATTATATTGTAGCCATTAGTCTGTATCTTTATCTTTATAGATTATTACTGTTAAGTCAAATTGGTTATTACCAGGCTCGTGTATAGTTTTATTTAAAACGATAAATAAATGATATTTTCATGTTTGAATTTGAATCCCACATTTCTTTTGATTTTGCCCAAGTTTTATAGGTATAGTTGTTTAGTTTGACAAGATGTTATTTTTCATTTAAAGCAGTCATTTTCTCTACCTGATTTCAGTGTAGAAAAAGAGGCACAATAAATGCCATAATGTATTCGTCAAATCTTATCCACCTAAAATCTAAATTAAGATCTTGTAATACAATATACACAAAATTAACAAAAACTAAATAATAATAATAATAATAATAATAATTATAGTAATTTTTAGGGATTATGAAGTGACCCATCCAATTAATAAAACGTGCTGAGGCCTAGGCTTAAAGTCTAAAGGTTGTGTGGCTGGTATTTCTACTTGACCAATTAGCCAACGGACTTGGAAGCCCCTTATCCACAATATATTTTTAATGGTATCCTTTTAGTTGGATCAATTCAATTAAAATTTCATTTAAAATATTTTTTGAATTAATTTTTTATTGAAATTGTAGATAGAATTTGATTATTCAAACCACTATTTCGTCAATAATTTTTTTACTGTAAAATCGAGTATTTTGTTGGATTGTTATATTTTTATTGTTGATTTCTTACTTTTTTTTTTGTGTATACTACAAGAAAATGATGAAATTCGAAATATTATTCAAATAGAATTTCAATGGCAATTCCAATAGATATATTCTTCAATGTTATTATTTTCGTTGAAATTTTCTAATTGATTCCAATGTTATTAATGTATGGTGATCAAATTTACAGCAAAATTACACGAGTCCCCAAAATTAATATATGGTGACAAAAATTTACAACAAACTTAATTATGTGCGGGTTAAATTTACAATTCTCTCAAAATTTATGTAGGGTCTTAGTAACTATCAAAGTCAATCCTAATTAGAAAACTGTAAAAATGCCACAAGGAAAGAAATAACTGAAAATGACGGGATTTTCGTAGGCGATTACGATTACGATTTACGAGTGACCAAATAATCAAAGTTCTTGAAATCATTGTGTATAGGCGTTAGTACTATTTGTTTATTATATCAATTTGTGTTTATTATAACAATTTGCATGGTCGTAATAATCTACAAGCGTGCAGGCACACGATCGGAGAAGTAAAATTACACTTTTTACCTTTGCCTTTTTCCACTTAGCCTACTTTTTTAT